TTCTCAGGGCTCACCTTGCACCTCGTGTAAGGATCCGGCTCATACCACACGCCATGCTTTTCCTTGAGTTTTCGGGATTTACGGATGAGGTACATTGAGGCCTGTGGAATCATCTTTTGAACCTCATTCTTCGTCAGTGTTGACGGCAGGAGTGTAAGCAGTTGACAACGTTCCCGGAGAGAGGTGGCGGTTTCAAAGGCCTGCCGAAAGTTGTCCACCCACTCAGTGCATGTGGAGCATGTTGGTTCGGACGACCCCGATGGTGCGTCCCTGTCGTACGCAATACGTAGCCTTGAGCGTATATTCACGACAGCAACCTGCTCCAGTTCTGTCTGCTTTCTCTTGACATAGGCAGGCCTGTCCCGACTTCTTACGACGCTTGGTTGTCTCAGCGGCGACACATCTGTAGGTAGTATGCTGCGATTTAGATCTTCAATTGCTTCTTCAGCTGGCACAAATATATCAGGGCACTGCTCTGAGCTTCGCATCGAGATCTCCTTAGTGATGTGCATGAAGCAATGGTAGCACAGGTAGTCCGTCGCACTCACTTTGGTGGAACAGTCAGGCGGAAGAATTTGCTTCAACGAGTTTAGGTCCAACTCGCCAACACTTCGAAAATTCCGCTGCTTTGGTATAGTCTTTTTGTGTTTGCAAAAGTAATCTGCACAAAACACTCGTTCGGAGCTCCAGGACGTCTTCATAATGTATACATAAATAATAGAAATGAAACCCCAACTGAAGGCTTATAATTGCCAAGTGAAAGAACTACTGGGTGCACAAGTGACAAGTCCGAGGCTGAGGAGCTCACTCACTGCAAACGTACATTTGAAAAGAGAGGTCACAACTGAGGCTGTCGGCAAAGCTTGATCCACGTCAAAGGAAGAAAGAGGGAAAGTCTCCAGACAAAAAATTGTGGTCAGCGGCCTTCGGAAAAGACTTTCCGGAATCGCACTGTCGTCCCTCCACGCGCTGATATGAAAGCACCCGAGCTTCTACCACGTGGTTCATGACACAGCCTGAGCCATGTCGGCGACCGGTTCGCGAGGGGTTGGCGGTGGGGTTACGTTGATGGTCACTCGGATTAGCCCTTGCTGTACTGAGCTACCGCCTGCAGTGCCTTATCGCCGGCTGGTGTCAACAACGAGGACACACACACCCTGTCTACACCAAAACTACAAGCGTTCACCGCACACGCGTCGCCGCCGCTTTTAAGCTTTTGTGAAATTGCTTTCTTTTGCCGCGGAAAACCGCCTTATCTTAACTACGCGCCTGAAATCCTTCCAGGCGGGCGTACACAATATCAAGCGTTTCGAGAAATGCCTGTGGAGTAGAACTATGGGAAAATTCGGAGCCCGCGATGTCGATATCGTCGCCGTTGTGTTAGTACGCCGTCGCGTACTGCAGTCCCCCGTCGGGGGAGGGGGGGGGGGGGGTCTTACTACGATAACATGGCGACAGCGTTTACACTCTATGTATTTACGCGAGGCTCGAGTATCTGGGGATAATGCTGCCGGTTGGTGTGCCCCTTTGTGCCTGATATTATCGCCCGTGACGCCAGCGAGTGAGATGGCGACAGGCATGACTGCTCAGTAAACAGGCGTCGGCGGCCATGTTTTGCTGCTTGAAGCGAACCCCCTTGTCCTTGACAGCGAGCGGGGAAATGCGAAAAAAAGATTGTATCGGCCGTTTTGCCAGAACTAGCGACGAGTGTCGTCTGCGGTTTCCGGCAACTATTTTGCCATAATCGTGAGCTTAGCGAGGAAATGATTTTTGCTAGCCACAGAACACTACCACGCAGAAAGGGAATGCTTGAACATGTTTTTGTTCTGGATATATATCAGGGATATATATGAGAGAGAGAGAGAGAGAGATGAAGGTAGAGCGGAAGAGGGAATAGCATATAGTGTCGCAGGAGAATAAAGTAAACCAAGTTCCTAGTGGCCGATGGCTGCATGATCTTTTCTCGGATCACTAGTCCGTAATATGATACCTCTTTGTACACAGTAGTTTCTCCTTAATTTAAGTGTGTGAACGATTTCTTTAGTTGTCATTGGCCTCATCTGAATAAAAATATATAAAAGATGTGTGTTGGTTTCATGAAACTGGAACTCAGACTCAGTTCTTGTATAAAACACTGCTAAGTGTAGGCTTTGAAAAGGACCCTACTTTGGGGAGTTGTATCTTCTTTCTCAATAAAATGATACAACATGTTTCTAATGAAAATGAATGCCGAAATAGAGTATAACAGGTTACCTAAATTTAAAAAAAATCGAGGGTGGTGTTTTTTTTTATTCGCATCGGAATTTTTCTTTGTTTGATTTTTTTTTCCATGTTTGACTAAATATATCCTACCTATTGTATCACACAGATACCTTAGTTATTTATTAAATATTAGCTATATATTAGTAGAATAATATCTGCAAATTATATCATAATGATTACATTATTTCATGAGATACAGACCTCCAAATTTTGCCATTTGCCGTTCGAGCAGGCATGTTTGTCAATTTTTAGAAAAATAAATAAATTTTAAATAAATATGATTACTTTATATTACAAGCAAGCTATACCAATAGTTTGCGCCTAAGACGTATTAGAGTTCTCCTAATGTTATCGCTTTAGTTATTCACCCTCAAACGGGCCCCCTCCATCAGTGCGCGTTAATGCAACTGTCCACCACCTCATGCCTTACGATTTTTCCTGTCCCCAAGTATTTTTTCTAGTCAAAACTAAGTTTGGATTCGTTCATACCAGACACTAGACAATAACATATAAAAACATCAGTTGATTTGAAAATGTCGACTATCCATCCTTTGGTCGATCTTATCTGAAATCACCCAATAATTGATTTGTCTTTTTGCGAATTTCTGATGTCCGCGGTGGCTGCAGATTGTTTCCATAAATACTTTTTTTTTTCTTTAGCGACACAAGTCCAAGAACGTTTTTTTTTAATTATTCGCAGAAGTGCTCGGTATTGGTATAGGAGGCAATCATTTAAGCTAAAGAAAAACACGAACGTAAAAGGAAGGAGGCGTGTTTGTCCCATAAGTCAATTTTAAGGCCATATTCTGGAATTGTTTTTACTCTGCATCGAGGGTAGTGAGCTGGAAGTCTAAAAGTACTCCGTTCAACCTTAAGCGGAGACCAGAAGCTCGCCTTTAGCGCGAGTTTTCTGCCCTTGATAAAACAAGCGTGAACGCACAGGCACGCCCAACCAGAGCACTGGGAAGCCAGCGAGATCGCGAGGGGAGCTTCTGGTCTCAGCTGAAGGGTGAAGAGAGTAAGCGTTGGCACTTGGTGGGACGCTGTTTTTTGTTTTTGTTTTTTTTTTTTGCCGCTAGGTTATCAGCTTCTATCTCGGGTTTTACATCACTCTGGGTTTTAACCTTTGGGCAGAAAGAATGCGCTTTTGACAAAAAAGTTCATTTTAGGGCAATATTTTGGGAGGTCTTCCGCACTCTGGGTTGTGTTTTTCGAGATGTAACTCTAAAAGTAAGAAGAATAAGCTTTTGCACTCGGCGGGCCGTATTTTTACAGTTAAGTTACTATCCTCTAATCCGGGTTGGGTCGCAAAACATCACATGACCGTTGATGTCACTCCCCCCCCCCTCCCCCCCCCCCCCCCCTTCTAGCCCACCATAGCATATGGGTGATCAGCGACTCACCGCGAGCCGATAAGGGTCCCGTGGCCGCAGAAAAGGTGCGCTCAATCTGCTGCCTCCTCGGGCGTTTAGCTTTCTTCGTTTTCTGTTAGTTTCGGTATGGCGGAAACATACCAGCCTCACCTCCCCAGAGAATAGGGTCCAGCAAAATCCTGTTTCTGAATTTTAACTACTGCTGTGGCGTTCTTTGACGATAGGCAAGTAATTCCCAGTTTGGATATCCCGTCTGAAACGAACTTTTGACTACTTAATCTGTTAATACTAGGTTATTAATGTGCTAATTATCACTTTACACTCTCTACGTGACGTACGCCGTGGTTGTTAAACTAATCGCGAAGGAATTCGTCCCCTATTTTGAGGGTTCTTTTTTTTTTATTATTTGCTGTCTTAGAAAGAACACTCTGTATATACAGACTCAACTCTCCGACGTCGCGCCAGTGCGGTCGCGCTGCTGTTGGCACTGCGCATGCGAAGATGCCTCAGGCGAATCTGGTTTCTGCGCAGGCACAGTGCCCACACCTTGGTTGGGCAAACACGTGCTTGTTTGTAAACAGTGTGTTGGTCGATATTATATTCATAAGAAAGAGTTTGCAGGCGGTGTGTTTAATTTTTACGTATACATTATTGTATCCTATTTTTTTTTGCAATTAATTTAACTGGACCAACATTGCTATGAGAAACAAATAATAGCGCTCGTGTAAGGCATTATTGAAGGTGCTTTCTATGCACTGTGGATTGGCGGATAAAGGCTCATAGTGAAATGCTGGCTTTTCTGGACAAGCATGACGGTGGGTTATATTTAACCTTTAGCTGTTCTCCATCATGGTGGCCACCGCTCGGGCTGCTCTGCAACTGAGCTGGATAACAACACAAATGAAAGTTCAACTACAGCCATGCGCAACTGACAAAGCATAAAACTGTTTTATGAGAATTCTGCGATTATATACATTCAGTAAAACTTATAAGGAACACCGACGGTATTTGAATCCTAAGACTTCGACATAGACATCAAAATGCAGAAAAATTGTGGCGTATCTGGAGGATCACTTAAATCGTGTAAACTTCTCACTCGAAGAATTTTTGACGCTCACGTCATTTCACTTGTTCTAGTTTTCTAATTTTGCTTTAATTGAAAACTATATAGCTTAGCGTGCCTTGACCTATATCAGTGGCAGGTACTGTTTTCTACTTGTCCGGTATCTGGCCGACATACAAAACATAGCATAATGGTAATCGTTTATTTACAGTGCCACCCTACACGGTGCATCTAATAATAGCCACACCCAAGTACCGCGGTCGCCCATACCATTGCATAACATTCTGATGGAGCTCACGTACCACATATTATGGGATCGGTTGACGGTCTTGAAGCTGATGGCTGAGGCGCTGCTGTTGTCGCCGGAGATGCTTCCTTTTGTTTTGCCTGCGTGTCTGTACTGGCTCCGGTATTCTTCTGTGCTGGTGTTGCCTTAGAGCCTGGAGGCTCCTTCGGGGCTGGTAGTGGCTTCCCGGTCGATTTCTCCACGTTTGGAGAATCGCCGAAAGCCAGCGAAATAGAAAGTAAAAAGTACGCTAGCCTCCACTTGATCTCCATAACCGACGGCGATTGCTTGGTTTCTTAGGGGCCCTACAGTCAAGTGAACGAGTGGGCGACGTTTAAATAGACAGCTAAAGTGCATCCATGTGGCCTTTGACGTCCAGATGTTCACGAATTAGATTGGGCGCCCCTAAAATAATCATTTATAAAATGCACGAAGCGAAAACCAGCTGTTCGTATTTTAAAGGGATTGTCCGGTAAGAGTCTGTCTTAAAAAAAGAAAATTATATTATATTGGCATTGCTTTTAGAAATATCATACGCACAATATCTGAACTTTTAATCCTCTGCCGCACAAGCAATTCAACCTTAAACAGAGCTCAACTGCTCAGATCACACCTGCAAAACACACAGCGTTTTCCTTGGCAACAGCAGAAGCTATGACGTAACATCAGGCAAAGAGAGCCACCTCGGCTTTTGACTGCTGTCTCAGTAAAATAACGTCGCTCCAAAAAAGATAAGATTCGCGGTATTGAGGGAAGCTCAATTCTTCGACGATAATATTTGTGAGCACCATCAATCATGTCGATCAAAACCGGAAATAAGTCAAGGCCCGCGACTTTGAAATGGCGGATGTGACGCCACGACACGTCTTGTCAAGCACGCAAAATTTGGTGTGAAGTTTTGTATTGATGTTTATATTCAATTCACCGAATATTGGGGTGTTTTTTATTGAAATAAATATTACATATGACTATATCTAGGCCCTCTCTACGTGACCAGCGCAAGAACTTAGTAACTTCCGGATATCACCGAACAAGGCGACGATTCGACCGACGGCGCGCACGCACTGATACGACTCGCGAGTGACTTATCCCTTGGGAGTGGTCGAAGTTGGGACATGTCGGTGAAACTAGAGCGCTAATTTCACCCACGTGTCCCAACTTCACCACTTCTCCAGGGATAATACACTCACAAGTCGCATTATTGGTGCGTGCGTGCCGTCAATCGAATGTCCGGTGATATCCGTAAGTTACTAAGTGTTTGCGCTGGTCACGTAGGGATGGCCTAAATATAGTCATATGTGATATTTCTTTCATTATATAAGACGCCCAAATATTCGGTAAAATTCTTGACGAGTACCAACACGAAACTTTACGCCAAATTTTGCAAGTGTTAAGACTGGACGTGTCGTGACGTCACATCAGGCTTGTCAGAGTCCCGGGACTTGACTTATTCCCGGTTCTGATCAACATGGTTCATGATGCGTACAAAGATCATCGTTGAAGAATTGATCTTCCGTCAATACCGTAAATCTTGTCTTTCTTAGAACGAAGTTATTTTAATGCGACAGCAGTCAAAAGCTGAGGTGGCTCTCCTTGCCGGATGTTACATCAGCGCTTCCGCTGTTGCCCATAAAAACGCTCTGTGTTTTGCAGGTGCAATTTGAGCCATTGGGCTCAATTTAGAATTGAATTACTTGTGCGGCAGAGGATTCAAAGTTCGGATATTGCACGGATGAAAATTTTCAAAGCAATGACAATATATCTTAATTGTTCTCTGAAAGAAATTTTACCGGGCAACCCCTTCAAGATGTCTTTTGAAAAGGCGGTCAAGGGTTAGCATAAAGGTCCAAATTAAACAATTAAAGGCCAATCACACGTGTCGTAGCTCCGAGCAGATATTTCTGCCTCCGTCACTGTCGGCCATATTAAGACAGACAAAATAAAAAAAAATAAAGCACGTTTACAAATCTCTGTAATGCGCAACTAGAGCGCAGCCCTTGAGGAGAAGGAAGGGAGGGTATGCCCCTCCTCCTCCTCCGTACCCTCCCCTCGTCTTTTGTTCCTCTCCTCCTCCTCCTTCTCTTCAGTCCTTTTCTTCCTTTTCTCCTCATCTCCTCCTCCCGTTAAATTTCCCCGCTAAATTTTCCTCTGAATTTAGCGAAAAATTTCCCCGTTAAATTTAACGGGGAAATTGACGTCACGTGACCTCAACAGCAATTCAATTTCCCGCTAAATTCAGCGGGGCGGTTACGCCGACGCCGCTGAACGCGGAAAGGGGCGCCTAAAAGCTGCGCTCTAAAAGCGAAAAAGAAAAAAAAATTTTTTTTGGTTACTTACACATTATGCAAACGTTTTGGTATTTGGTATTTTTTATCATTATTGATTGTTGTGAGTTTGTATATAAAAAATTATGTTTAAGAACCCTATATTTTCTCACGGAACGTTTCTAAATTCGTTATTCATGGACAATACACTAAAAATGTTGTTTTTCATTAAGACACTTTCGAATGCAGACTCATCTACCAGAATTCATCGGGCACAAGCAGCGCTTGTTTAACCGTTGACTATACTCTCTTTTAAAGGGATACTACAACGAAATTTCTGCGCTTCTTTTTAGTCTATACGTCTCTACAAGATTATAGAAAATTAGCCCGTCACTCAAAATTCGTACAAAAGCAGCTTTGCTGTTAGTTACGGTGGCCCGATAGCTGGCGTGCTTCGTCCGCTTCGGTGGCTGGAGCGGTTAGGGCATCCTGTCGACGTCAGCCTCGCCGCAGCTTTCCTCGTCCCGATACAATCTACGTCACGATTTTACCGTATGTCACGTGCTCTCCCCTGGCTGCTCTCCTATCGTTTGCCAGAGTGGGCCGGTAAAAGCACTGGAGGCTACCAGACATGTACAAGTTACTAAAATAAGTATTTAGGTAAAGTTACTGAGTATTGGCCTAAAAAGAAATCTGAGCAGAGTAGAAATTATTCAAATGGAAAGTAATTGAGTAAATTACTATGTACCGTAAAAAACTAGCGAATAACTTTTGAACTGGCTTTTATAGTTTTTTGTGGTAACAAGAAAGTGCACAGGTTTTGACCCGTTAGCGAAATTCTGCTAGCCAAATATAAAGCAGGTTGTGTTTTAACAGAAATTCTTTAATGGCTGGTTCTGCTTTTGCGTGCGTAATTGTTTTGTACTTTTTTTAACGATGTATTGCAGATTTATCATTTCTACCTTGAGGTTTAGCACTGGATGAGCTTGATGTTGCAGAGTTTTTGCTTGTTTACTGTTGCCTAAAGTACATCTAAAAAGTACGTGAACTAAAGTACCAAATGAATGAGGGGTTATGTACTTCATGTAAACTACCGTAGTAAGCACACCGGGTGCAATGTATTTGAAGTAAAGTACTATAAATACAATGTACTTTAAAAGTAAAGTACAAGTACTCTTTAACACAATCTTTCATGATGCCTTTTTATCCCCTATACAGTGTCTTTTATATGCATTGCTTTAAGGGTAAACGGAAGTGCATCAGTTTTTGTTTTTGTTTTTTTTGGAAATGGCGGCAATATTGGATGAACTCGTGACAGAATAGTTGTTTTACTCTCCCTGACCAACTATTTATTTAACACAATAAACTTATAAGGCACTTATTTGTATCGGTCTTATAGCCGCCATTATTTCGCTCAGAAAAATGACCGCATGAGGTCTTCATATAACGATACGCCATTTTTTGTCTTCAAATTTGGGGAATGTACTTTGGAGTCGGAAGCTGCACTGGTCTAGGAAAGTATATATATAAAAAAGCTGTAGTAAGGTACACGTACAGGCTCAGACTGAGAGAATGTACTTCAAGTAAAGCACAAGTTTTCTAAACCTACTTAATGTCACACTTTAAGTACCATGTACTTAAAATACTTTCTAACACTGCTTGTTTATTATTATTTTTTAATGTCAAAACATTGGGGGAATTACTAAGGTTTCTCGAATCATCTTCAAATTTGGAAAGACTTGCATATTCCGAGTATTGGGAGAAAAGGCCAAGCCAAGTAGTTAGCTTTGCGTTGCCCTTTAGCACGCAATTCTTCAAGTATAGACCTTTGCGTTGCCCTTTAGCCTGCGTTTCCTCAAGTACAGCACAAACTACGGGAGCACCAGATGAACTTCAGGGCGGGCGCTGCATTTTTTTACCTCCTTTTAGGATGCAGTGTGTAATGGCAACATCTCCTGTAGTGGGCGAGAGTTCCTACGTTGGAGAGAAGCGGGGACAAACCTTTTCTTTAAATCTGTCGTCTCGTTGAGCTTCGGGGCACAAAGAAACGCGTGTCTTTGGCGCTGATCCCGCAGTTATTCGGTCTTACCTGCAACGATGTCTGTCCGCTTCCCGCGCTTTGTAGCAGGGTTGTTGCGGGGGGGGGGGGGGGGGGGGGGGGGCGTGAAAATTTGAGGGGGTTTCGGGCCCTCCAGTTTTTCCCCTCCACCCCCTCTTATTGCCTAAACCGCACGCTTAGCCCTATTTGCAAATATCGGCTTATCTTCCAAGGTCTATCTTGGTTTTTGCAGGAATGTTCGTTGATAAGCAAGCCTACCACTTAAATTTGAAAGCAATGTGTATTTTGGGAAGAATTTACTCGTAAAAAGTAATTAAAGTGAACTACTAATTACCGAATTAAAAATGTAATCGAAAGTTGCTTAACAACTCAGAAACGTAGTCAAATTACAGTAACTTGAGTAGAGTATTTAAACTACTTACAAGTCTCGATGCTACCGACCACGTTCACGAGCAGGCTGGACACCCGGAGGTAGCGAAACGCACCGAGGACGTGGACGGAGGGTGGGCCGGTCACATCGCTTCCGACTGTCCGACTCAACACGGCTTGCCACGGACGACGTTTTTCCCTTTCTTCAACGCCATCTCTCTCTCTCTCTTTCTCTCTGTCGTGTTCAAACTAAAATGACGGAGCGGTGAAATGTTCACGGACCACGGCGCCAGTTTGCACACCCTTTTACACTCAGTCCTTCCGCAGCTGACGCTATACGACTTGACGGTGCTAATCAACTTAGTGCCAAACGTTGACCGTCACGGCAGTCGTCGTCTTTGTAGGTTTTGCTTCCACTGCAGCAAACCCAATCACGCGCTACAAAAAAAAAAATAAAATAAAGGAAAGCTTAGGACCATGGCACATCCACTGTCCGTGATTGGTTTAGCGCGTGGTAGCCAACGCACAAATACGACGAGAGCCGTGATTGGCGTTGCTTGATTGATCAAGGACTCATCTG